CCCCTTCTTTACCCTCTCCCCTCTTCCCAAAAGCGGGACATCCTTCAGCCCGGTTGGGGACTTCGGTCCCCACGTTTTTTCCCTGCCTCATGTCGGTGAGGAAGGATCGGCAACAGGCCTGTGTCGAAAGAGATGGGGCTTGATAAGCATTCTGGTTGCATCATTTTCGGGGGGGGGGGGGGGGGGGGGGGGGGGGGGGGGTGTGGTGTTTGGGTGGTGGCTGGCAGCGAGTGTCTCTTCCCAGATAAACAGATGTTTTTTTAAAAAAATAAGAAGTCGAGGAAAACAACAACAACCCCCTGTTTAGTCTATGAAAGGTGGAGTTGGAAGGCAGCCAAAGGACTGGGTGTTTTTTTTTTTTTGGTGTGTGTGTGTGTGTGTGTGTGTGTGTGTGTGTGTGTGTGTGAATGGACACCCAGAGTCATGTTCTCCAATTGCCCCCTTCCTTCTTCCACCTTGGACACTACTGGACGGCCTTAAACCAGGATTACTTTGGAAGGAGCTGCCGAGATTGTGGGAGTACCACAGAAAGAAGAAGAAGAAGAAGAAGAAGAAGAAGAGGAAGAGGAAGAAGAAGAAGAAGAAGAAGAAGAAGAAGAAGAAGAAGAAGAAGAAGAAGAAGAAGAAGAAGAAGAAGAAGAAGAAGAAAGAAAGAAAGAAAGAAAGAAAGAAAGAAAGAAAGAAATTTACTTCTCCAGGCTGTGCTCAATGCCAAGCCTCTGGATTGCAAAAAGCACTCTGTATGTGTTCTGGAGCCCTGTTAAAAGTCAGGGTTGCTTGAGTTTTTCAACAAAAATGGGAGTTTCGGAAACAAACGGGTGTGGGGACGGTGGGATGACCAGGGCTGCCTTTTTAAAGCAAGTGGATGTTCACCTTATGCATTTATTTTACAAATTTATTTTACAAACGGAGGGGAACAGACGTGGCCCAGGGATAATGTGGCAAGGATCCAATCCGGGACCAGAGATTTTATTTTTTTCTTCTGAGTTTTTGGACTCAGTTGCTGCAACCTCTTATCCTCAGGGAACTCCTCTCTGTGTTTATTTTGATGGATTTGCTGCCTGAGTTAACCTCTGTGGGAAAATAACTGGTTTTCTTCTGCGTCTTTGACAACGTATTTCAAGGAGTCGTTTTGAGATTTCCGAGCTGGTTTTTTCTTCTGCCTTTGACAAAAGGTTTTAAATGAGTTGAGATTTTAAGGAAGAGACCCGACAGTCCCTTGTCTGAGACTGTACAGGTTCTCCTGCTTGAGCAGGGAGGGCTGGACTAGAAGACCTCGAAGGTCCCTTCCAGCCCATTCTATTCTATTTCTTTTTTACCTGTTCCCCGAGATCAACTGTTACGGGTTGGAGGGCTACAAAAAGCGGCCTTGAGCCATTTAGGGATTGGAGGGGGCGTGATTTAGAAGTGGGATGTGTGTATGTGTGTATTTGCACACGCATGAAAGCATCTTGAGGACCCGTGGCTTGCTGTGTTCTTAAAAGGCTACATTTTGCCCCCCCGCCCCGTAGAGCTGTGAGCAGTGGTTAAGCTGTGAAAGCAATGTTTGTGGTAACTATAGAGCTTGGGTACACAACAGTGATGTGTGTGCGTGCAGGGTGTGTAGGAAATGCCACTTGCTGTGAGTTAGCGAGTGCCGATTGGGCGACAGGCTGACCCGTTCAGCGCTGATTGGTTGCAGTTTTGCTCTGAAAAAAAAAAAAAAGCTAGCCCTACAAAGCAGGGGTGCACGTCCAACCGTGGCAACTTTAAGACTGGAGGACTTCAACTCCCAGAATTCCCCCCTTCCCCCCAGCCTGAGGAGTTCTGGGAGTTGAAGTCCACCGAGTCTTAAAGTTAGCCAGGGTTTGGACACGCCTGCTATTTAAAAAAGAGTCAAGGGATGAATAAGGTGGCTTGTTTTCTCGCATTTTGAATCCCAGTGGTTCATATTGCATCGGCTTTTTTTTTTCTTCTCTATTTAATGCACCTGGGACATGTATCCATGTGCTATCTTGAGCCTATTTTCTCGTGAGTAGACTTCCCTGGCTTTAGTAGAGTAGGACTTACACTCTGGATGGAGTGGGGTGGGGGGAATAAAACTATTTGGAAATTGGTCCTGTTTCCCCTTTAAGACCCTGAAGGCATTTTAATGTCCCTATTTACATTGGGAAGAGAGGGCAAAAGTTACATATTTGCTCCTTGCTGTTTATTTTTTTTTATCTATCTATCTATCTATCTATCTATCTATCTATCTATCTATCTATCTA